TAGTTGTTCCGACCTGGTTCAAGATCCTGCAAAACCACTTCAGCTTCTCCCTTAATCAAGTTCATCAAATAGAGATATTTCATATTGGGGTCGATGTTAGGATCGTTGTGGACAGCTAGCTCGAACGCACACCAAAACTGCTGGAACTTGGTGACATCCCCGTCAAAATGCGGCAACGTTAACTTCTCCAAATGGATCGGTACGTACTGCGATGATGAGGAGACCATCCTAGACTGTCCCATAGTCTGAGTGGGCGTGAGCTGAAGATGTTCCAATTGCTGCACAGCGTCCAATTGCGGGTCTACTGTCTGTAGACGTGCGGCGTTATCTGCGTCAGTGCGATCTTGTCGCTGGGGCGTCGTCACAATCCCTGTCGTATCCGTATGCTTATCCTCGCTGATGGAGTTGGCGAGTCGATGAATACGGAGAGTCTGGAATTGTTCGCTGTCCGCTTCCTGGGTGTCTTGCAGCGTACGAAGGAGTGCTTCAGTGTCGGCCTGATGTTGATCCACACCGTACTTCTCTTCGAACCTGCTATACGCTTCCTGGTCCGTCGGCGAATTGGATGTTGTGATGTGATAAAGCAATAAGGCACGACGTTCCCGTAAAAGCGAAAGCGCTTCTTTGAGGCCTACTATGTGGAAGTATGCGGCTGCCTGACGTTGCTCGAGCTGATGGAGCTGCTCGCTAGCTGGGGCGTCAGACACTAGAGGAGAAAGTAAGTCTGGACTTACCTGCTTCCTTGCTGCTTGTAGGTCCTCGATGGCTTTGACAACCTTCGGAAGGTAGGACTCCACAGTTGTCGCGGTACTCATATCGATCGATCGATGTTGATAGCGTGCAGGAGGTAGTTACTGCGTACCCAAATCTGGAAGGCTGTAACTATAGAGACGTTCAAAGAAAGCAGTGACTACTTGACGGCGTAGCCACAAAAATGATGAACACGAGAACGCGAGTGAAATGAAAGGAGCGACGAGCAACAACAACGAAAGTAACTCCGGATGTTAGTATGGGGCGGTGTCGACAGTGGAGAAA